AAAAGCAATTTGTCGAAACCAATATGTTGCTTTGGTTCAATCTTGATTCTTGAGGATGAAGATGATGAATGATGGAGGATGATTTGACCCGACCCCTTGAGACAATGACACGTGGACCTGACTCAGCACGAGCAACAGTTCAGTACCACAACTTGATTGCGACTAAGTAACGAGCCTGCAGGACAGCTCGCTATAGGGGGAGCTCGCTACAACGCGAGCTCGAGGTCCCCCAAGCTACCRAAAGGGAATACTCCAAGACTATCCCAACTCGCGAGCTAGGGTAACCAGCTCGATCCAACACTTAGGCAGAAAGACTACCCCAAAGGCAGTCCCGATGAGGGTCACCTCGAAGTACCCATGGGAGCTCGCTACGAAGTAGCTCGCGACAAGATAGCTCGCTACATGATAGGGTAGCTCGCTACAAGGCAGCTCGTGACTAAGCAACGCGAAACTCTCAAGGAAGCTTCTATTTGACAAGACCGTACCCGTCAGACTGCGCCACGTCTCTTGACTGACGGCGCAGTCCCTGCCCATTTGACAGACTGTACCCACGTCTCTCGACAAATGGTGGCGTGCCTGTCCTCCCGGGACATGTCACCCATCCAATTGGGTAGTACCCTACAACGGTCACCTGCGCAACCCTGGTAGGTAACGGCTGTGACAAAAGCCTAGTGGCGGTTACGCCCGATTTGACAAGAACGCCTATATAAGAGCTCCCTAGTTGAAAGGAAGGGCTCTCTCGAACATCTGAGATCCTATCTGAAATTTACTTGCTCTCGAGCTAATCTTGAGAACTCAGTGATCTAGTGCGACCTACACTCTTAGCCTCTTTACACTCTTTACCTTCTCCCTCAGCGTTCTAACTTTAGCTTCGGAGTATTCCCGCCGGGCAAATCCCTCGGGAATCCTTCATCTTCTTCTTCTCAGGTGTCATCCGTTGCCAAGTAGAAGCCAGTCAGTAGCCAGCTAGGAGTGCCCGGATCGTGCCGCATCAATGAACAATGTCAAAGGGTAATTTTGATATTTTAAAGGTTTTAAATTAGACATATCATCACATGATAGAGATACCTGATGGACTGCTAACAGCAAGAACTAAATTGGTACGTTTTGAAAGTTTAGGTACTGGAATATTGATACATTGTGTGAGGGATCAAAGTTATTGACACAAAAATTTTAGGATTATGCATTAATCCCAATCTTTTTTTTTTTCCTTTAAGGGTGAAACATTACTTCCAATTACAAGGAAAGTGACTTGTATGGTCACAATTGCATTCACTTTCTACATGGATGTGGAAGTGCAGTTTGCGAGGAATATGGGGACAATGCAGGAATTGCACTTGCAGAGATAATACTTGACGAAATTGATACTTAATTCTCTAAAGACACAACCAATTAATAAAGTATCTCTAAAATTGAAATCAACCCAATGGAAGGAGGACATGAAGTCAAGGGCTAAGAAACTGGATTACCTCCTTAACCTCATAAATACAAAAATCTAACTCCATCAATTTGAAGAACACTAAAGTTGGCTATGGGCTGCAAAACTTATTGGATTGAATCACATATACCTATTCTACCTAAAATAGAATTATACCTACCTAAACCCAGAGATATGTTATGGTCGAATATATCTATATATATAAAGCAAGGTGGTACATGTCAGAGGGCCTCTCTTTGCTCCAAACCCCCCATATTGCTCTCTCCTTAATTCTCTCTCCTTCCCCTTCCCACCACTCCACCACTCCCATTTTACCAATTCAGCACCCTTTCTCTCAATTTGTTAATTAACTCAATATATTTTACATATAATCTCTTTCTCTCCCCCCCCCTCACAACTACTCATGTTTCCTGCTCTCTCTTTTTTTTTTTTTTGAAAATAAACTGAAATGTACTACACAATGGAGGTAGTAAGTCCTAAAAAATCAGCAGAACAAATAAGAAGAAGAGAAGGGGAAGTGATAAGATGCTAAAATCTAGAGAAAAAGAAGAAGAAAGAGCCTCCCGAGCCAGCTAGTCAGCCGCCTGATTTGCTTCTTTGTAGACATGTTGATAATGAAGATCTCCTTTGAACAGATCTCTCTTCCGTAAGCAATTTGAGGTAGTACCTTCCAGATTCCAAGGAACACCCACCTTTCTTTTAAGGCAGGGGATGACAAGAAATGAATCTTCTTCTATGATGATAAGAAACTCCCTATAGTTTGTAGCTTGGACATGGGCTTCCCATGCAGCCCAAGCTTCAACCTGGTTAATGGAACAAATACCAAGTTTGTATGCTTTGATTGCTAGCACCTTATCAAGATGGTCCCGGACTATACATGCCACTGAACATTTTCCATCACTATTGAGAGAGGCATCAAAATTGGTCATCAATTAACGCCCATTACATTTTCCTTGTAACATTGGATAAAGTATTTTGGGAAGATTTTGAACAATCTTCAACTTCCATATTCGTTTTCCATTGCCAAGCACAATCTGAGTTGCATTAAAATCTTGAATCAAAACCTTGCAGACCCCATTATTGGGTTGTATAGTTAATTTAATTATATTTATTTACATAACTAATAGTAAAATGGTTAATTTTATTATCTTACTTAATTTTGTGAATTATTGATTTATTTAGTTTCCATAATAATTACTTAATTTACATTAATTAATTTACTGAACTTTTTGCACTTTAAACCTTTAAGTTATTAGGTTGCTTAATAAAACTTAGTTAGGTTGTTTAATTATTAAAATTACTTAGAGATGACAATTTTTCCCATCCTCACCGGATACTCAACCTCAATTATATATATATATATATATTAAATGTTATTTACATTATATATATCAAAATACATTGAAAATATTATTTATATTTTAAAATTTTCCTCTATTTTAAGTAAATCTATTTTCTAAAAATACTTTTAATTAACTTTAATTACATAATTAACATTAAATTGGTTAATTTCATTATTTTACTTAATTAAGGAATGGAGAGAAAGGGCGTTGAATTGGAAAAATGGGAGTGGTGGAAAGGGGAAAGGAGAGAGAGTTAAGGAGGAAGGGGGTTTGGAGAAAGGAGAGGGTAGCTGACATGGATCACTTTGCTTTCTATATATAGTATATATTATTTACATTATATATAAATATATATCAAAAAATATTTTTAATTAAAAAATTTGGTCGGGTCCCCACGGGGAACCCGTCTTCGTCAGGGATTAGGGATGGAGGGTAACTTTTCTCCCTAGTAGTGGTCGGGGTCGAGGATGGGGAATATGGTCCTTTCCCCGAACCCGCCCCATTACCATTCAATTACTTATCATAAACAATAATTTACTTATTTTTCTACTAACTAACAACAATTATTTAAATTTAATTACAAATTAATAATAATTTATTAACAATAATTATGGTTTAATTAATCTTAAATTAACAATAATTATGCATTTATTATTTTAATGTGAATTACTTTCCTTCGATCTTATTATTTGGCTTTCAAATTTTACCGTGCACCACACGGCCCCCACTAGTACTATTATAAGTGGAACCGACAATTACTAGAATATTATATAGGCAATATCTATGATGCCAAAAAAGGATGATATCCGAAGAACTTTGACCAATCATCCCCGCCCCCTTAGGAATTTTGATAAATACCAACTGATTGATTATCACTTTTATGATATTGGTTGATTGATTATAAATTTTCTAATGTCATAAAATTTGACAAAGTTGCATATCATTATTAAAATGACTTAAAACTAATTTTAGTAAATTAGGACATTCCACCAACTTTGCTAATATGTACATATCAAATTATCAATATTATGTAAATATATTAATATATACTAAATATTTTGGAATGGATCAGATTGGGGTGGATCTATATATAATTCAACTATAACTAAATTGAACTTAGATTATCAGAAATCTGCATTGGATCTGTCCGTACTATTCTGTTGATTTTATTATTTCAGCCCAACGCTAACGCTAACAAATGTGATTTGTGGACTATAATCTATATTGTTAGTAAATTATATGAAACTCGTCTCCACCTCAACTCCGGTTGGCTCTATTGGCTGGAAGGTGATGCCAAATCGGCCATCGAACTTACATCATCAGACTTGAAACCTCCGTGGCGTGGCGACTTCACAGTCTCTGTGCCTAGCTTGTCTCAATGTTCCTTGATGTATATGCATCTCATCATCTCATTCTTGCAAATGCCTATCCCATGGGTTAATTGAATATGCTATTAGACATAATAAAACTATGACTTAGTCTAACATTCTAAATTTCTTGGGATCATTGATCAAGAATAAGATGTTCTTTTCCTTGAAACTAGCTACTACATAAGACTATACTCCAAATTAAGTTTCAACTTTCAAGGAATTAATTCTTAAATATTTATTCCAAAATAACCGCCGATAAACGTATTAAGTAATCAAGTGGAATTTATCAAAATTTACTGATGGATTTTGATTGGTCAAAAACATTTGATACCGTATACTTCCGATACCAAAATGAGGACCTGGTTACAAGAATTGTCTGATAATTATTTTCCCGAATAAATGACTCAATATTTTTTCGCGGGTCAAACGAGGACCCGGTTATTTGTCTGTCGGGTTGGATTATGATATAAAAAAAATATAATATACAAAAAATAATTGATACAAATAAGGTGTTATTTATCAAAATTCATGGATGGGCTTTGATTGATCAAAACTCTTTCGATTCTATATCTTTTCTGCACGATAGATTTTCCCTTGTTGTCTGATAATTATTTTCCTTGCTTTATGACCTGTTATTTATGTGACTATTCCGAAAAAGAATAGGGATATAATTGCCATCAACGCTAAAAGTAGCGAAAAGCTTGTCTCTCGCCTTCGAACCAGCCGTTCCCAACACAACACCATGCTTACGCGTCATCGGGGCCGTAGATCCGATTATGAAAACAAACGGCCGGGATCGAAGTGAATTTGTGGTTCATTTGAGCGGAATTTTATTTGGGGCGGAGCGACGGACGGAGTCTCATTTGGACCAGTTTCCTTTTTAAACATATAAGGGCGGGCAGCTGTGTCTGTGTGATTCAGAGGTCGTTAACGCCTAACGGGGACAGAGTGATCGAGTCAGAGAGAGAGAGAGAGAGAGGAGAGGAGAGGAGAAAGGGTTTCGGAGTCTCTTACGAACCAGGTTTCCAGGATTCCAAAGGTAATTCATTTTTTTTCTGATTCAATCTTTGGCGGAGTGTTAGTGGATCGATCGTTAGGAGAACATTTCAATCAGTTGCTAACACGGGTCCGCATTCTTGTTATCTGAATAATCTAATTGAAGAAACTAATGTGACTGTTCTCGTGTTCATTTTTTTCCGAATTTGATTTTCAAATCCTTATTTTTATATCCGTGTTTCTTTTCAATAAGAATTAGCAACAGAATTTGGGGGCTTTTATAGGTTTTTATGATCCGGGCTCTTTTAAGACTTCTTATATTTTAGCTGCATTGGCGCATATTATGTAATTCTCGAAAACCTTTTCCGTTGGCTATCGTGTTGGATCTGCATTTGCCTGATCATTAGATTGGTCAGTAATAAAATCTGGTTAACTCGTTTCTTTCTCCCGGTTAACATCGTTCTTGCATTTCAATTCCATTCTGTTCATGTTGATCTGTCAATTTATTTCATCCGTCATACCCTCCCCATAATTGTTAAAATGCTGCTGGTAGTGTGTTCCTGACCTTTATTTCCTGGTGTTAATCGGATTTGTCTATGTTTTATGTTGTTGCCCTGACCTCGTTTCTTCTCCCACTTGACTTTTGTTGAGAGAAATTGAACCTTTTCTATCTCTCGTTAATCTGCGTTTTTTATTTGATAGTTAGTGCGTTTCCTTTTTTTTATCCTCTTTGCTAGCGTATGATTTGACTGTGATATTGCACTAGAGAGCTAGATGGTTAAATCTTGTAGCCTGAAATGCATTCTTGGTTATGTACTACCACTTTAAAGATAGAAGATTTTTTGGTAATCAATAGGTGATGAGATCAACTGCTCATGGAAAAATGTGCTTGAATATCTTTCAATTTGAGATAAAAAGCATCTAATTTGAACAATTGATAAAGTTTATTTGGCTTTTCCCCTTTTAATTTTATAAATACTTGACGTGATTACCGCATATTTGCTTTTAAAGGGAAATTGTTCCAACTCTCACAGTTCTCTACATACACTCATGCCCATTCTTATAATAACTTTTTTAATGAAATCGTTAATTTCTTCAAAAAAAGAAAAAAAACCTTAGATGTCAAGCTTTTCTATTTTGTCTCTTTTAGAGTTGATTCTTATTGTTTTGAAACCACTGAACAACTGTTTGTTATTAGTTTCAGATTGTTACACAGAAATTGCGTTAACAAGATAAAATATATGGGTTCCCTTATCAATTATCCCTTCAGTAACCTGGTAACTATAAGTTATTGGAATTTGTATACTTTTGATGCATCTCACCCTCCACTGGCCTACATATACATGTTTCTTGACTAGTGCCCACAATTTTATATGATGATCTTCATCTTCTGATCGCTTACATAAAAGAAATGCATCTTCCGGTTGATTAACGGGGCATTTGCCAATATGTATGATTCTCTTTCAAAACAAAAGCAACTGTGATATCGGCAAAATCATATTGTTTTTATAGATATGGTAGTTATTTTTGTTTTGAAAAACAAAATCATATATGTTGGTGAGCACCTCTAAATGAATAACCATAAGTTTATTAATTGTTAAATGAAGAGAAATCAAGTAATGTTGGTGGGCAAAGAAGTGGAACTGATTACCATGGGTTATCTATTGGGCCTTGGTCTCCTTATGATTTTGAAAGGTTAATTGGGTCAATACTTCTTGGTAATTTAATCAAGCTGGTGTAACAATGACGAATGGATGCCATTGTCTCCAAGTTTCTTTAATTGTTTTAATCTAAATTTGGTGTCTTTTGGTGACTCAAAAGCAGGTAATAGAATATGGCAGATGGTGAAGATATTCAACCTCTCGTCTGTGACAATGGGACAGGAATGGTCAAGGTACCCAAACCGGGATTTATTGTAATTCTAGTATCTAGATTCTATGTTTGGCAATATCTGCTTCTCAAGGAAGGTGTATTTAATGACAGTTGGCTTTTATGTTTACGAGTTAGGAATTTATGTGTTGATTCTTCTAAAAAAACCTTTATTTTTCAGGCTGGATTTGCTGGAGATGATGCTCCAAGGGCTGTTTTTCCCAGCATTGTAGGCCGGCCTCGCCACACTGGTGTGATGGTTGGTATGGGCCAGAAAGACGCCTATGTTGGGGATGAAGCTCAGTCTAAGCGTGGTATCTTAACTTTGAAATATCCAATTGAGCATGGTATTGTGAACAATTGGGATGACATGGAGAAGATCTGGCATCACACCTTCTAYAATGAGCTCCGTGTGGCCCCRGAAGAGCACCCAGTTCTCCTCACTGAAGCACCTCTCAACCCAAAGGCTAACCGTGAGAAGATGACACAAATCATGTTTGAGACGTTCAACACTCCTGCGATGTATGTTGCTATTCAGGCTGTTCTTTCCCTTTATGCCAGTGGTCGTAC